TTTCAATTCACAACAAATTATTCAAACAAATATACTAAAGTCTCAAGATCTTACTTTAATTCTGGAAGAGCATTAACCATTCAGCACTAATGCTAATCCAATCTATATTAAGTGTAAGGAGAATCGCTTTAGTTAGCATTGTAGATAGGTTAACATTAATTCATAGAGTTTTTATGTGAAGATGTTTGATGTAACTCATGTATCATATATATACAATTTAATAAAAACTTGTATCTAATGCCTTTTTATATTCAAAAAAAAAAAACAATCTATTTCTTAAGACTTATGGGTTTATAGCACAGTGGTAATGCTTTATAGGTTACCAGGAGAAGGTCTAAGGTTCAACCTCACCTGGTTACAAAAATTTATTACCTTCATGATTGATTAACTGGCTTCCAATACATGTCACATCCAATCAGCCGAAAATCATTTATCAAATTAAGCTAGGCTGTATGAAGATAAAACCTTAGGTCTTTCTGACGATTGTAGGCTGAAACAGGTCGAAGCAGAAAAGATTACATGAGGCAAGGCTTCTGGTTTAACTCCGATATAAGCTCACAATCTTAACTAGAATGGCAGACTCCATATTATCACTCTTCCTATTCAGGTTGGCTAGTTTTCTGATTTAGGTTGTACTTAATTAGCTAGTACCCTAAAACTGGATTGGCAGACTCTGAAACTCAATTGGACCTTCATCTCCCTATTTAATATTGGCGTAATCTGAATTGATGATCCAATTAAAAGAGAGTCAGATTATAAGCCAAAAAGGAGACTGCTAGGAAGGTTTTTCACTATTGGTACAGGATTTTCCTTACCTTATATTTACAAGTAGAGTGTTATTAGTATAAATCAGAATATGGATCCACCTACTTGGTGTAAGTTGATATTCTGATAAAAAGTTGCAATAGGCTATGATTAAATTACATTTCATGTAAAAAATCTTTAAAGTAATGGCTATAAACTCTCGTTTAATAAAAAGTCTCACATTTAATACTTATTTGTAAACAAAAAAAAACAAACTACTTCTTAAATTGACCTGTGGGTCTGTAGTGTAGTGGTTAACACTCCACAGGTCAAATTACAAGATACCAGTTCAACTTCATGTGAGGGTGTTTGAATAAGAATTAATACGGTATCTGGCGCCATAACCTGTTAAGCACTGTTCCTCATAAAAAGCTGTTTCACACGCTGATCCAGTGGGCGTTGAGATTGTAATTTTCAGAAAAAGGTGTTGTGGTGCGATGATCATCCAGTTGGTGTTATAATGATCATTGTCAAGTTTGGTACAATCCCCAGTTCTATAAAAATATGCTGTTTCTCCTTCCTATAGTCCACAAGATTATAAAAGAAATATAATATGGAGGGCCATAAACTAGAAACTTTTTAGCAAAACTTTCTAATATGATCCCCCCTTCCGCAAGAGTGATGACTCACCAGCAATACTCACTATTCTTACCTGTAATAAAAGTACCTAGTTGGTAACAATTGTCAGAATGGAAGACTCTCTTTAAGACTTAGTTTGACTTTGGAGGAGTTGCGCCCTCTTAAATAAGCAGCTTATGCTTGAAGCCCAGCATTATCTAAAAAGGATTGGATCATCAACCCCAGTTTAAAGATATTGAAACAACCCCTGGACATAGGTTCCATCCATTTTTTCAAATGGTAATCCTTCGAGGCCACATGTGCTAGGAAGAAAACCAGAAAAAGACAGAAGCACAGTACTCTGATGAGTAATTCGTATAATGTTAAATAACTTTACTGAAAGGTTTACAAATTTGAAACTGGAAGATGTAAAAGAAAATCTTAGGTGGCAGGCTGCACCCAGATGGTTTATGCCTGTGGGTGAATTCTAGTATATATAGGCATTTAGGATAGATTAACTTTATATATATCTTGTATGTAATGACCTATCTATTAATAAAAAAATGCAGACTAGAATACGGTTTCACTTTAGCAGTAAAAAAAAAAAAAAAAAAAAAACTACTTCTTAAATTATATTTTATAATATAAAATATATTAAAATATATTTAATTATAAATTTAAATAATATTATTATAATAAATTATATAAACAATAATATTAGTATAAATTATATTTTGAAATAAAAAATAGTAAAATATTTTATATATTAATATATTTAAATTATATTAAATTATATTAAAATTTAAAAACCTGTGGATCAATAGTACAGTAGTTAATACTTCACAGATCAGATCACAAGATATCAGTTCAACCCTATATGGGGGCAGTTAAATCATATTAAAAATGATATCTGGTATCATAACTTGTTAAGTATTGTTTCTCATAAGAAACTATTTCATATACTAATCCAGTAGGTGTTGAGATTGTGACCTAACTATAAAAGAAGTTATGACATAACAATCATTCAGTTGGTGCTACAATAATTATTGAAAGATGGTTAAAAAGGTGAAGAAGGAGTTTAGTTTTGCGTAATAATGGTTTGATGATCCTTTCTCATGATACTTAAAGTGTCTCTTCCTATAAAAGTAATCATAAAGATCTTTTCCAGAACTGCTCTAACAGTTGCCTTTTCAAGTTGGGCTGCTGCAGTAAGACTGATACTGTGGGCAATTAGTCAATATAAGTACTTAATTATCTGGATGGCTTAGAAGTTGGTATAGCATAGGATATAGAAGATTTTCTTAAATAGAATTCTATTCACCCAAGATATATATCACTCCAGTGTACTATATTTCAATTTCTCTTTAATTCTATACAAAATTCAAAATAGAATAGATTAGCATAATTTGCAACACTAATAGAACTTTAGCATATTAATCTCAACATTTATCTCTTATGGAGTTATGCCGACAGCAACAAGCCAATATGGAAGTAAAAATTAATATAGTTATACAATATTATAGTTATATTATAGATAGTAATTCCTGTAATATATAAATTACATATGTATAAGGATAGGTCCTTAAACTATTTAGCATATAAAATTTTGCAAATCAATTATATCCCTTTTGAAGGGACATAATTATTTATTCATTACTTTAATAGGGACATAATTTAAAAAACACTTGAATCAAGTGATCTAAATTGCAAAAAACTTTTGTAGATAGTTTTTTTTTGACTTTATATTTTTAAAAAAAACTTTTTTAATAGTAAGGGACATTTGAATTATGTCCTCGCCTTTAATTTAGAAACCCATCTTTATATATGTGACTCTAAATAATAAAGTGCATTATGACAAGACCCAGCTGATTGACCAATATATATATATACTGTATATATATATTAAAATTTTAAAAATATAACAATAAATATTATAAATAAATAAGTTTTATAAATATATATTATTTTTTGCTTAACTTAAATATATTGTAAAAAATATTTATTATATACAAATATCATAAATTCAATATTAACTTTTCTATAAAAACCATATAATGAAATATTATAATACTATATACAATCAAACCTGGATATAATGAAGCCTTTGGGCTAATTAGTAAAAATTGAAAAAAATTGTTTAAAAATTCAATATAAAGAATTTTTAAAAATTTATATAATAACATTATCTTTTTATAATGAATTTTGAGTAAATTCAAAATTCAAAAATTCATTATAACCAGTATTTTATTATAGCTTCATTATAAATAGGTTCATTATATCCAGGTTTGACTGTATTTTGCAATTAATAAAACTAACTTAATTAAATTAAACTCTGTATTTTAAATTAATTAAATTAAACTCTATATTTTAAATTAAATTAAATTAAACTTCTATATTTTAATTAAATTAAATTAAATTAATCTAAATTAGACTTTATATTTTATTAAATTAAACTTTGATGACATAATAATTTAAACAATACTTTATTTTCATTACTTAATTAGACATAATTAATTTAATAATATAGTTAAAAAAAAAAACAGAAAATTAATAAATATAAAATTTAAACATTGTATTTTAATTAATTTATTTAAACATAATTTATTTAACAATACAATTTTAAAAAAATCCTGGAAAAAAACCACCCGAAAAACTAGAAAAAACTAGAAAAAAAAAAAAAAAAAACTAATACTCAAATTCGAAAGAAAAAAAAATAAAACTGGGGAGAAAATAAACCCAAATTCGAAGGAAAAGAAATCTAACCCGGGAGAAAAGAAATCCAAACCCGAAAAAAAAACCAAATCCGAAAAAAAAAAACCCCAAACCCCCAAAAAATAAAATCCGAAAGAAAAAAACCAAAACCCGAAAATATACTAAATTACAAAGTTTCAAGTGATAAAAAATTCCATCATCATGATTTTTTATTATCATAATTTATAATTAATTAAAAAAAATATATATTTAAAATTATGTAATATAATTTACATTCAAAATGAATTACTATTTTATAAAAAAATGAAAATTTATCATTAAATAAAGATCTTAAAATCTATATAAGTAAGATTAATCAAAAAATAAAAGAAGCATTTGTTTAATTCCAATTCAAGAATTAATAAAAATATATGGTAGATATACTGTAGTACATACGCCTATTATTATTATGTGGGAGACTTTTTTTTATAGTTTAGATAATATTTGGTTGATTTTTTAACAATAGATAAACTTCTTAACGATTTTTGAATATTAAAACATTTTTCATTCAAGCAATAATAAAGGTCTTCAAATTTCACTATATTTATATGGAACAAGTTTATTTAATGAATAAACGTTTGGTTTTATTTAATAATAATTATAATATATAAAATTCCTATACTACGAAAAAGATCATAAGGTGTAATGTCCAATTCCGCAATGTTCAATATTCTTATACGTAAATGCAAATCCGTTTGTTTAACATTTGTACGCGAATTATTCCGATGCCCAAAGTATGAGTGAAATCTTTATTAATATTTATTTGTGAGAACAGAATTGTTACTAATGTTTAAATTAAGTCGCATAAAAAATCTTATAACGATATAAATCTTGTTAACTTTTATCTTTTTTTAAAGTAATGTGAAGAAAAGGAAATTTTTAATTATTCAACTCGTTCCAACATTTTCATGTTTCTTTAATACATGGCGGACTGTCCCTGCCTCTGATCGAAGTGCAGATTTATTGATTTCTTCCATTAATTCCTCTTGCTTTTCTATCTCATCCTACAGATAAAAAGATATTACTATAACACTTTACACATTCACAATCATTGATTCTATACACGTACATGAAATATTGCCATCATTCGAAGAATAGCCTTATACTGGTGTCGATCCCGAAAAGTAAAAGGAATGGAGGCTTTGGCGAGTTCAGCTAAAAGGTACCGTCCATCGGGTAGCATATTTAAAGAGTATAGAATCATTTGATCGTCTAGTAAAAGCAAAAATTATAAGTATCAAAAAATATTATCACATAATAATGCATATAACTTACCTATAACCTGGGTACGAAATACTTTGATTTTAGTTGCGAGTGTAATATCGCAATCAGTATGATCACGCAACACTCTGACCAGATTTAGTACATCTGTTCTGAGAGCTTTATCCTCTATGGTGTGTACATCAGTCATATTTGATGATCCCCTAGCTACATCCATGTGCCATAGATCCAAGCCGTCGGAGTATCGCGTTGCCTTAGAATTTAATTTAACGATATCCGAGTTAGCGGAATGCGCATAAACCTCCATCCATTCAAATTTAAGATATGGAAAGGTTGCTTCGTAATATTTGAATATTGAAGAAATCCGACAGATAACAAATTTTTTATTTATTATCTTTAGGCTTGTATAAGGATTTCGATCAAAAACATAGTAGCTGAAAAGAAGCAGGCGTTAATTTTTATTTTAACCAACAACCAACAATATCAGATGTCAACATCTACTTACAAGTCGAGAAGCACCTTTTTACAATATATTTGGAAGGGTTCATCTGAAATTTCTAAGGCCGCAATTTCATATTTCTTTCCGTTATTATCAAGGACGCCATCAATATACTCTTCTAAATTGGATGACCACACTTCAGGATTGGCATCACATAAGGAGAAGAGTTTATTGGCGAGTTCCCGACCGATATCTACACTTAATTCCGAAATCGTTTTATTAAACGCCAATATTACGGATATGTCTTCGATGTATCTGAAGGATTAATGGAACAGAGACCATTAGGTTGCTTTTCATTCATCAAGCAACATTTGGTGAAAGAAAACGAGAGACTTACGGCAATATTTCCTGAGTTGTTTTTAAAGGAACTTGTGGTGAAGTTCGAGATACAGGTTGTAGGGATTCTACTGATTGTAAATGAGACGATTCTACATTAGAATCACTAGCGAAACATTTGTGCATATTAGACATGATAGTTCGGTGGTTTGAAAACGGTGTTGGTGTAAAAAAAGGTGCTAACCTATCTATTTATTGTTATCGAGAAGCGGTATCGCGTTACGTAATCACGGAGGTGAACGTGAAATGACGTATGTAAACATGTGGCGCAAGTTATTAAGTTATTAGCACGTAAACAGGTCTAACAAAAAAAAAAGCACTCAAGTTTAATAAATAAAATGAACTTTATTACGTGTAGATTGTTAATTGTGACTGATAAAGAATCGGAACTTGACTAGAATATTGGGAAGATTAAAGAGTTCCTAGAGGACAGTTCCAAAGGGTGACTATTATGATAACAACATTATATCGGACGCGTTTTATGCCCGAAAATATAGTATTTGATGGATTTGACGTGACGTATTTGACGCAGTTTTAATCATGACGCTATATCATAAATTTGATTGGTCAATCAGTAATGAGATATAGTCATAATTAAAACTGCGCAAAAATACTTTGGTATACTGTATACAATTAAATAGATACAGTACATGCGTGTACTATATATATACCAATTACGTAATTAAAATTTATTCGAAATTTATTTATATGAAATTTTTATTAATTAGAAGGTTAATAACGAGTCATGTATCATAAAAGCGAACACATCCTCACTTCGTTCCGAATTGATAAAATAAAATTTTTCATAAAAATATTGATACAGTATAACATACAATTTAATTTGTCAAAAATTTTTATTTCCAATTTAGGGAAATCGACCCTTTAAGACATCAGGTGGCACGATAGATCCAAACACAAAAAGCTTAGATAATAATCTTGGGAAAGTACTCGCCCATTAGTCATAAGATGGTTAGTGACTTTTTGCATTAAACCGATGAAGTTAGCGTCGAGGTCAATCAGGTTTAAGCTACAGGTTCGAAAGTTATTCGTAAGAAATTAAAAATTTCCAATCGAGAATCTCGTAATTATGTATGATATTGTTTCGATCTGATAATAAAATTTAAATCGATTCACCGGTACGTATGATCCACAAATTTCTCTCACCAAGGCTTTCCATCGTTTTTTTAAGCTAGTAAAAAATGGACCATTTACACAGAGTCGACCGTAGAAATAAACCAATTCTTTAAATTAATTAATTAACCAAGATCTTCAATATTGGATTCTTTTGGGATTTTGTTTTTATGCATCAGTTTATGGAAGAATCATATAACAAAAGAACAGGCTTTCATGTTTCACTATTTGTTTTAACAAATAGTTTACAGTTATCGCAAAAACTGGTAATGAGTAATGCATGGACTGCTTACTTATTCGTTAAAGATAAACTGGGGTAATGATCTTTCGGTAAAATAATTATCCCATGGATCAACGTGCGTGCCAAATTAATTATTGCGCACCAATCGGTTTGACTCATTTCCCTCAACAGTTTAGAGTACTCCTTTATTGCGCATATCACAAATTTCCAAGTTTGATGACAGAAAGAGAATGTCGAAGGAAAACAAAAAGAGAGTAATTGTTACTTTTCATACGGCGTATGTCCCATTGCAATCTGTTCGATCACGATTAGATATTGATTTTAAACGAACTCCAATAAATCGGTCATTATATAAAGCAAGGTTTACGATTTATTCTTACTATAATGCACGCGTCATGGAAATAAACCTTCTTACTTCGGAGATGTTTCATTGATTTTTATGTAATAAAGTTGTTTCGGGATAGTGCACCAACGAGAATTTTTTATCTTAAAAAAAAAAAAATACACATTACCTCTTCCACTTATCTTTGTTCACTTCAATATTCGAATTTTATTCTCTCTTTTCCTCACGTCAATATTCGAATTTTATTCTCTCTCTTCCGCATACACTCTTTTTGTTTTTTTATATTATTGGTCTTTGTGGAACAAGAGTATCTCTTGTCCATTTATTTACCTCTCGATTTATTCAGATTTTTATATAAGTGAATCTCGGGAGATTCACCTGGTAGAAATAAAAAATATCGAGGAACAATAGATATAGTATATGGTTCGATCAATATGGAACCAAACAATCAAAATAACACACCCCTATCCGCAGCGCAAATGGTTGACCAGGATTCTGGAAGTCCGAATACTGATATTTTAAAAACTAATTCTACCAACACTACATTAACTTCCGCAACTCCTCGCCCCGATTTCTCACTCTCTCAATCCGAAGTGTCCAACATGGTTGGTCAAAATCATTATACAACCGCCACGTTAACGTCTTCGACCGCCAATCCCGGATCCTCATCCTCTTCCACAGCTGCTTCCAGCAACAGCAAACCACCTTCTCATATTTCGTCATTATCAACCGCAAGATCTAGTAAATTGGCCTTGGACTCGCTGGTCTATGAAGCCATCATACAAAATGATATTCCCACTCTGTCCAAAATACTGTCCGATAATCCTAATTATTACTTAAATTTACCGATCAGAATTAGGGAAGTGAACAGATTAAGCAGTGGCCAAGATGATATTACTGGTGACATTCGTGGAGATGATAAAACCCCTTTAATGATTGCCGCTTCTTTGGATTATGTTGATGCAGTAAAGTGTTTGTTAAAAAATCCAAATGTTAATATAGATTTACGAGGTAAACACATTGGGAGGAGAAATTTGATTTGTTCCCGAGTTCTATATCCTAACGAACCTTACCAAATTTCTTACTATCAGATGAACAAGGAGAAACCGCATTATTCCAAGCCGCGTCCGCTGGAAATGCTGAAGTCGTAAAAGTGTTGTTAAAAAATTACGCCATAGTCGACCTATCGGACAATCATGGTTTGTCTCCATTATCAATAGCCGCTTGTAATGGTCACACCTACGTGTGTCGAATGCTGTTAGACCGTGGCAAGGCAAACATAAACCAAAAAGATGAAACGGGGAAAACGGCTCTCGCCCATGCTGCCCATAAGGGTCATTCTCAAACTGTGGAAACCTTGTTAAGTAGAGGAGCGGATTTTAACATTACAGATAAGGTATGAACATTGTAACGCAACGCTATATTATGTACCATAATGCTTTGTTTGTTTGTTTGTTTGTTTTTTTATCGTGGGTAAAAAAATATTAAAAAGTTGTACGCAATATAGTTCGGCTGGACACCACTAATGCTAGCTGCATACGCGGGCCAAGCAAATATCGTGCGTCGATTGTTGCTAAACGGCGCTGATCGTTCTCTGAAGACCGCTAGCGGAAAAACCGCTGTTACCTTAGCACGTGATAACGGTTTCGTTCACGTGGCCGACATGATTGAAAATTTTGCAACGAAAACCTACAAATCCCGTACAGTAGTAATGAAGGAGAATGATGATTATGAAATGGATGGTCGAGTTTCAAATGTCGAAAAAGGATCGGGTCTAAACGAGTTATATAATCCAGAGACGAAGCGATTATCATATCGTGTAAATGCCTCCCGGTCCTACACCATGGATTGGAGTCAAAGACGTCAGCACATAATGAGCGAGGATAGTCGACGGGTAAGCACGAGCTCAAGGCTGAGATTAGAGATGGCACCACGTAAAAAGAACACTCTCTGGGTTTACATTTCTTGGATAGTGACAGCACCATTTCTCGATAGATTTTTAATCAGCATTGGTGGAATGGATGATGCGCGATCACGTCAGGCATGGAGGGAAAAGGTCACCCTTTGCTTTTTTATAGGGTTAGCCTCGCTTTTTGTCGCGTTAATTACCTTTGGGTTCGTTGCACTCTCATGTAATGAATTACCACCTATACCAAATTTGGCATTGCGGGAGAATAGTTCATCGGTGATCAATTCGCAAGTGATGATAGTTCGTGGGAAAATTTATAATGTGGGCGACTTTTTTAAATTGGGATTTCATCGTCCGTTATTATCAAACAATAACGATAGCACGCTAAGCCCTATTATAAATTCTTTTCTTGGAAAAGATGTTTCCCAATTCTTCCCAGTGAACAATCCGGCTATTGGCTGCAGATTTGCTCCGTCAAATGAAACCAACAGTGTGCTCTGTCCAAGCCTTCCTCTGAATGATTCCCGTTATCATTGTCATTCGTCAAAAAATTCCGTGCGCGCGCTAGAGTCATTGTCCACCGATAGATTTATAGGTATATCGTGGGATGAAATATCTAATAGAACGAGTGATCGTAAATTATTGGTGTTCAACAACTTTGTCTATGACTTCGCTTCTTATCTTGATCCATCCAATACCGATCTTTGGTTAGGAGATGACGGAGCGGTGACAAAACTGTGGATTCAATCTCTCATAGGCTTTGATGCCACGAAAGAAATAAGCACGACGCGTCGTTTTAATGATGTGGCAAAGTGCTTTGACCATTTCCGTGTTGGTAAGGTCGAAGGGATTGTCTATGGATGTGCCGCAATGACCACGGTGGTTGTGGTATTGACCACCGTCACTACATTATTCGGGATAATGAAATTGTTATCAGCTTTGATCTTTGGCTATTTCATCGGCAGGAAGATCGTCATCGCCGATAAGAAACCTTTTGAGGAACTCCAACGTATAATAGTGTTGGTACCGTGCTATAGCGAAGGAAAAGAAGGTCTAAAGATGAGTCTTGATTCTCTAGCGGCCACTGACTATTCCGACCAACACAAACTACTTTTTGTTGTCGCGGATGGTGATATCACAGGTAGTGGGGAAACTAGGTCTACACCAGAAATCCTCAAGGATCTTATTGTGCCGTATGATGAGGTCGATCGATTTTCCTCGATCGATAACACTCAGCAGAATTCGGGTACCAAATGGAAAGAATCCACACCGAAAAGCTATATAGCGATCGGCCCAGGAACTAAGCGACACAACATGGCACAGGTGTATACCGGTTATTATCTTTACGAAAATCGCCGTGTACCAACCATTCTAGTGATTAAATGTGGTACACCCTCGGAACAAAAATCATCGCCAAAACCAGGAAACCGGGGAAAACGTGATAGTCAATTGGTGTTAATGAATTTATTAAATAAAGCATATTACAACGAGCCAATGACTGACTTGGAATTTGAGTTGTTCGAAAAGATTCGACTGATAAGTGGAGTTACCGTGGATCAATATGAACTGATGTGTATGGTGGATGCAGATACTGTCGTGGAGGAGCATAGCTTGAGTAGGATGATAGCGTGCATGGATCGCGATCCTTCGGTGATAGGGATTTGTGGAGAGACGAAAATTTTAAATAAGACTGATAATTGGGTTACCATGATTCAGGTAATAATCATTCGTACCGCTTATGTCCTTTATTTCTTCTTTTTGTTTTAATAATAATAATTAATAATATAACGATAACGCAGGTTTTTGAATATTACATCTCTCATAATCTCGGAAAAACCTTTGAATCATTGTTCGCCGGAGTCACATGTTTACCAGGTTGCTTCTGCATGTATCGAGTTTACGCATATAATCGTGAAGGTTTTCGCACACCAATCCTTCTTGATAGTGATGTAATGAAAAATTATTCCACTAACGACGTTGACACTTTCCACCAAAAAAATCTCTTGCTTCTCGGTGAGGACCGATACCTTACCACTCTGATCCTTCGTGCCTTTCCCAAACGAAAAACAATTTATTGCCCATCTGCCATCTGCCTAACGGCTGTTCCTGACTCCTTCTCTGTTTTGGTGTCCCAACGTCGACGATGGATTAACGGGACGGTGCATAACCTATTGGAACTTATTGTGGCCTCAGAGTTACCTGGAAGGTTTTGTTGTTCTATGCAATTTGTGGCGTTCCTCGACTTTTTTGGCACGGTGACCGCTCCATTTGCCACCTTCTATCTTTTCGCCCTGGTCATTGCAGTAATCTTTGGTCAACCGTATGGGTTACAAGTTCTTTACTCTGCGATTACATACTTTGTACAATTTGCACTGGTCATAATAACGGGCTATAAACCGATGAACATTGTGTGGTTCCTCATATACGCATTTTCGACTCCGATATGGTTTGCCATGTTGCCACTATACGCGTTTTGGAATTTTGACGGTAGGCTTCACCTTTAAATTGGTGACTTCTGTACTTCTTCGAAAATGAATGTTAAGTTTATAATTACTTAATGGCAAACATCGCATATTATTAACTAAACTTTCTTTGCGTAAAATAAATTCAGATTTTACATGGGGTACCACCCGAAAAATTGAAGGTACTGATAACGGTCACGATGAAGATACCATATTTGATAGATTCGACCCACGAAAGGTGGAACTTAAGAAATGGGATGAATGGATTATCTATCGGCAGCTCCATAGGCTACCCATGCTTGCCCCGTTACCACAACTCATCAAACCTAATGTTGAAAATGATCTTGCGCCAAAAAATGAAGAGTTGGGCTTAAAAAATGAAATAATAGGTGATAACAATGGTGATATAGACAACGAAATTCAATCGCAACCGCTGGCCACGGAAGAGAAAATACTAAATACCCAAGAAATTGCCGAGAGCAATAATAGCTGAAGTTATAAATATAGATTTGTTGGTGGTTTTTGGAAATAGATATACGGTATTTACTTTACGAATTTGTATAAAGTCTAAAAAAAAAAAGTACAACGTGGAGATTTATTAACACGGACGTTTGGGTAATGCGGTTGTAACATTAATGTCATTTTTTATTATAAAAAAAATTTGGTAAATTTATTAAAAGGAATGTTTTAAAATATTAATAAAATTAAATTGGTGCTTGTATATTAATTTAAAAACTCAAGTACAGTAAGTAATTCATTGTTTCGCGTGAAGTTGTACATTTCACCGATTTCCTTACAGCACAAAATTTTCAATAGGGGTGGCTTTAGCTAGATGTTGGTGGACAAACTAGTCCATCTTAAGCTTATATCATTTAAATCCCAGAAAAAAATCTCCGCACCATACTTACAAGTAGATTAAAATAAGGCAGAAATAAATTTTGCATTCGAGACTTGGTACATCCCGATTATCAATAAACAGTAATCATAAAATTTATTATAAGAAACCAAGTTATTACCTACAAAATTTGATTTTATTTTATTCTCTTATAAATTTGTAAATACAGTATGCAATTTACAAGAAATTGTCATAAGAAAATTCCTACAATTAATAAATTAGATATGAATTGATTTTTAAAAATTCAAAAAATATTGGATCAAATGATCGCAAATTCTTAAATTTAAAAATCCCACGTTTAACCCTAGATCGGATCGTTTGTGTACAGTATATCCAAAAGAAAAATTTGTCAAGAGATTTGTTTTATTTGCGTCTTTATTTGTAATTAATAATGAACAAATTTTGAACAAGCGTTTTATTATCTTTATAATTTAATAAATAATGGAAATCAAATTATTCAAAAATAAAATTTTTATGGGTTAATAAAAAATATGTAATGAATAATAAGATCTATTTTGAACTATTTATTAAAGTAATATCTACAATAAATTATTAAAATATATTGTCAAATTATTTAAATGAAAAAATTATCAGATGTGATTCATGGTTTTATAGTACTGTGAATAATGAGTGTTTATGAGTTTTCAAATACACGTCTTTAATTTAATACTTACAAAAGACAAAAGCAACAAAATATATACTGCATGTTAACTGGTTTTTTACTTTATATGTATTGTCTTAAATTGGCCAAATCCAAATCAGATATAATTAAATTTCATAAATATAAATCTCTAATTTTTTTAATAATTGCAAGTTAAAAACAGATTTAAAACAAAAAAAGTTATACGAGAAAAGACTTAATATAATTTAATAAAAATCCATATCTTCAAGTTGATATAACAGATTTTATAATATAAATTAATATTTTAATTTAATAGTTTGAAAATTATTTCAATATTAATATTTCATAAAATTTAAAATTTAAATCTATATAAAGTAAGATTATTAATTATAAGTAGGAAAAAACCAAATAAAATTATTAAATTAAATAAATTTAATAAAAATTAAAACAAGATTACATTAAAATTTATACAAATATATTATACAAAAAAAATATTTTTTTATCTATCCCTACTTTATTAGAAAAAAATTTTTTAAAAAAACTTTTTTTTTTTCTACTCAAGATTAAATTTTACTACAAAATAAGTTTTAAGATATATTAATATCATATAAGACTTTTTTAATTGGCAGGCATTATCTATTAGAAACATACTGTATACATATATAATATTAATTGACATATTTGAAAAAGTACTTTTGCTTATAAAATCATAAGCAAATTAATTTTTATATATGTTAGTAATCTGAAACAAAATCAAAAAAGATTGAAAAAACAATTAATATTGTCTTTTATGAGATTTTATATATATTTAAGAATAAGTATGAAGATAAGTATATTAAATATAATATATAATAAAAGTATAAATAAAATTGTTAAGTTTAAATTTGTAAATTATAATATATTTTTATACTTAATATATGTCTTAAAAAAATAATAAAGATAAGATTAAAGTTTAAAACTTATTAAGTAATTAATTAATATATATATATGTTATTTATAACTTGCATTATACAAACAAGATAGAATTAAATTTACTTAAATGGATTAACAAGATACAAAATTCAAAAGTAATTACTAATTAGATAAAGTTACAATATATCAATAAAGTTGAAATTGCTTTAAAAATTAAAATCTTTAATTTTTTAATTTTTTATAAGATATACTGTAATACAAGTTAAGCCTTAAAATATCAACAAATTTATTAATTATTTCCATAATATTATTATTTTTAAACATATTAGAAATAGTTATTTATTATTAAAAATAATGAAATTTTCTAACAAAAACTTATTTTTGGATACTTTAACTGATAATTACAAATTCTTTATTATCTTATCTCAAAAACTATAGTTAATTTTTTCTTTTAAAAAATCAATAAAAAATAATTATATAGTATTAATTACAAAACCTCCAATATGAATAGAATTATGGCAAACAAAATAAAACAATATAATAATATAAATTAAAAGTCATCTTTAAAAAAATATAACTATGAAATAAATAAATAGCAACTTCAAATAATCTTTAAACAACTTATTAATATATAAGAGTTATATTTTACTTGACATTTATATTATTAGATTTGATAGCTAAGACTAATTAAAAGTTTTGAAATATTTATTAAAATATTTTGAAATAGCATCATACATGACTATTATAAACTTAAATTTGATAGTATTTGTCAATTAAAAAATATATTTTTGAAATATTTATTAGAAAATATATACCTATATTAAATATTTAATAATTTTATTATAAACAATTATAAAAAAAATGAAATAAATCAAAAACTCTTTCCCGTCCATCACCATATTTCCTAATTAGGAAATTTTCTTCAAAAGAAAAACTCACCAAGTCCTCTT